CGCAATCGAGTAAAAATGACTTCGTCTCTTCTGGAGAAGTCCGAAGGATTTCGCTGTTCTAGTTTGGGTTTTATTTCATATAGTTTATTATTTTTCTGCTTTTCCCAGTGGCTCTCCCACAGACTGGAGGTATTTTTTGTGTGCCTTTGATAAAAAAATGTTCAGTATAATCCACACAGAAATGTGTTTTGTCTTTAAAACATGTTGAGTTGAAAAAATAAAATTGATAAAAATTGTCAAACAGGTGGAAAAATATTGGTTTCTTCCATTTTGTTATTTCAATGAGTGCATGATTTCACCAGGAAGCCACAAAAATGCAAAACATTTGTCGTGACATGCACGAAATACTTTGAGCATCTATGGAGCATGGCGACAGTTTGGAGATTGGTCCCGGTGTTGGCGTCTCAGAATGGTGCCATTTTCTGAGTACTGCAGGACTAAGTCACAGTAACAACACTGGACTTGATCATTTTCTCCTGTTGAAGAGAAAAATAAGTTATATTCAAACACGAAGTTCCCAAACTGCTTTCCAGCTCGAATAAGATTATAAACATAATTTTCTCTGAACATAACATAATGTGGAAAAAGAGAATGGCTGTGGTGACAAGTTGAGATTTGACTCAATATTCATATTTTGATCAAGACTTCTCAGATAGCAACAAAAGTAAGCGCACTGAAAAGGAGAAAATTTGTTAATGCATCTATTACACACTGCAACACCTCTTGAAGTAACACAGGCGGTTGGAATCCTGAACACAGGTGTAGCAACATGAAAATATGTCCTGCTTTTGTTTATATTTCTTATTCCTCCAACATAACTTTTCTGACTTCATTTGTTTTCAGGGCCTATTTTGATTTCCGCATCATTAATTATCTTAGCTTAAACATTAGAACTTTAAAATACATAAGTGCTAGCAGATTAAAACAATATTAACAAGACCTGAATGTACACTGTATAAATCAAAACTTACAAGTACGAGTAACTCATGCTTCTTCCAAGAGATGAGCCTAAAAAAAACAAGTAGTCTTAACTCACTGGCTACCTGCCATTTATATTTGTCTTTGATGTGCCTTTCATGACGGATTTGCGTGGCCTTTTGGACAGGTTGTCCAACTATTACTATTACAGGTTGCTGTTTTAAGCAGTGCCATTACAGAGAGAGAACGCAAAGGGGGAAATGGAAAGGGTCAGCTGTTTGTACAGATGGTTTGTCTTAAGTTACAGAGGAGGCCTTCTTGATTGTTTTCCCTTATGTTCAGTCTATTCAATACTCAAAGGGAAAAGGATGGGAAATAGTTTACAATAAAGTCAGAAATTAAAATGTTGTCTCTAGTAGGCCTACCATTAGTACCAGTACCATACAAACATAATTCAGTAATGAAATAAATGTTAGACAACATTATTTATTTTTTAAACAAAAGGGAAATAAGGGCCTTAATCAAGTCGAAACCTTATTTTTACAATAACAGCCAAACACACCGGTAAAGTATAAGCCATCTCTGGCTAGACTTGCTGCTTGTTCTGGGTCAGTTAGCAATCCTGAGGCCCGTTCCAATTCACAAAACGACTGTACTCTCCAGGATTGGTCTAAAAAAAGACACAAATATAGGACATTTTCATTGGCATTTTATTGAACAAAAAAAAATAAAATTACTTTTTCTCAAATTATGAAGTTATCAAATGACACTGCTCATTAAAATTTTCCTTTGAATTGGTGTCTCTTCCTTAGCCTCTTTCTTAACATAAAAAAACCCTACCTTCTAAGAAAATATCACAATTCTAACATAATCTTTAATCTTTGAACGTAAGTTATATTATAATCAATATAAAACAGTATTACTCTGATTTTTATCCTTACTACAATTTCATCTGTACATAAATTGCTGATCTATTGATTAGACATGTATGATATATATATTATTATATAGCCTATATTATTATGTACACATTTTGTCAGTGGATCACATAATGTGTTGTTTGAGGTTTAGCTTGCTATATTTTTGCCACCTAACTGGGTGAAATCTGGCATCTTGCGAGAGAAACACACACACACACACACACACACACACACACACACACACATAAATAGGCCTATATAATGTGCAGCGCACAGGATACCCCAAACACGTAAAACTCGAAATCACGGACAGCTCGTACAGTATGCCATTCCCCGACTGAACCACCATTCTTTCTTTAAACTGGCAAGATGGTTTTCTCAAACACACATGCGGGTACCTTGAACAGCTTGTCTAAAAATAAACAGATCAAATATTTCTATGTAATTGTTTTGAATTCAAATCATCCTGCTACGGGCATAGAGCAAAACAACATACCCATCTTATCGAGAGTATCAGGTTACATAAGCCCATCAGGCTCGCCCCCACTCGGCATGATACACACACTGCTGGTACTGAGATGCATTATCACACATTACTTGTAGTGTGCATAAAGCACTTTGTTCAATCTAGTCATGTGAGGGTGGGTGCTGGGTGGAAGGGTATATTTGAAGACAGACAGTGTAGAATTGCATTGGGTCGTATGGTGTATGAATTATGGTCATATGTGTGTGTGTGTGTGTGTGTGTGTGTGTGTGTGTGTGTGTGTGTGTGTGTGTGTGTGTGTGTGTGTGTGTGGTTGTTTGAATATGAAGGTATCAATCAGGAAGTGATTACATAAAAGTGTTGATTGGCGTGCTCTGACCAATGTAGGATACATTATCATGATTGTGATCCAATCTTCTATCCTATTAGTGGGGCGGTTTAGCCCAAAAATTTAAAAGGATTGTGCATTTTGTGATACAAGCACCAAATTTGGCACAGATGTACATTAATATATTGCAAACATTTTTAGATATTGGGCCACTCGAATTTCTCTCTTTATGGCCGCCATGTTGGATTTCAAAATGGCCGCCATTTGAAATCTACATTTGCGATTATCTCTGGGTCAAATGCTGCTACTGACTTCATTTTGGTGTCTAAATGTATGTTTTTGGGGGCAAGGAATCCAATGGTAACAATCTGCATAGCGTATTTGTACTAAGGGGCCGCCATATTGGATTTCAAAATGGCCGCCATTTGAAATCTACATTTTCGAGTATCTCTGGGGCAAATGCTGCTCTTGACTTCATTTTGGTGTCTAAATGTATGTTTTGGGAGGCAAGGAATCCAACGGTAACGATCTGCATAGCGTAGTTTTACTAATGAGCCGCCATATTGGATTTCAAAATGGCCGCCATTTGAAATCTACATTTTCGAGTATCTCTGGGACAAATGCTGCTATTGACTTATTTTGGTGTCTAAATGTATCTTTTTTTTGGGGGGGCAAGAAATCCTATGATACCAATTTCACAATCCAAAGCACAATCTAATGCACAATTCTAATGCACAAACATAAATCAAAGACTCAAATCTAAAATTCTAATGCACAAATCTATTCCAGTGCACAATTCAATGCACAATCCAACGGCACCAATTTCAACGTAATGTTATCTTTCACACTCT